GGATAACCGCAATCCCAAAAGTATCATACTTAGATGATTCCGATGATGAATTTGAAATCGATTTTACGAAAGAGAGCTTACACAAGCTGCAACAAGAGAAGCCTCAATCTCTACAAGACACCATTAGTCAAAAACCACCGAGCTCGTTTGAAGGTATCATAGCCATTCAACAACAAATGCATGCTGATATAACATGGTATAGCACCAACTTTGATCACATCACCCAATGCTGTGAAGAGCTGTTTGATAATCTGGAGGAAAGAAGAAGTAGCTTTAGACAAAGAGCAAGTCGATTACAAGAAGTTCATAGGCTCAATATAGAAAAAATAAAAGAAATCAATGAAGATTTAACATCTCGTTTTGCTTCTCTTCAAATGGCACATGATAATCTTGCTAAGTCACATGATAACCTCAAAAAGGAACATCAGGAGCTTCAAAAGTCAAATGAAACACTCACAATTTCTCATGAGGAGCTTCAAATGTCTCATGACAATCTCGAAATTGCTCATCAGCAGGAAGTCACTCGACACCAAAAGTCACAGGAGGAGAATGAGAACAGACTACAACAAGTTAATCAAAGCTTAGTTCAAACACAAACAGAACTAGCAACAAAACAAAATGAAGTGATCAAATTACAAAATACACTGCAAAAATTAGAAAATAATTGGAAGGTCAGTCATACAGAGCTATCACTGTCAAAGAATCAACTGGGCAAAGGAGGCTGGGGTGTAGTCTGGATTGGAGAGTTTAGGGGACAAAAAGTTGCTGTGAAACAGATGCACAATATCATTAAAAGTGATGAGTTTATAAAGCTCCTTCATCGTGAAATAAATACAATGTCTCAGTTGCGTCATCCTAATCTCCTCCAGTTTATAGGAGCTGTATTAGACGATCCATCAGATAATCCTATGATTATCACTGAAGTAATGGATACCTCATTACGCAATGCCTATAAGAGTAAGGAGCTCACTCCTGACCCAGGCTGTAGACCAGTGATCCTCTCTATAATGCGTGATGTAGCTGTGGGTTTAAACTACCTACACTGTCTACCTGATCCTATTATCCATCGTGATGTCAGCAGTGCTAATGTACTACTGGAATCAAAGGGAGACAAGAAATGGAAGACAAAGATATCTGACTTTGGATCGGCTAGTTTAGCTCATGCAGCAGTCACTGAAGCACCAGGAGCTCTTGTTTACAGTGCTCCAGAAAGTATTGCTACACTCTACAGAAAAAAAAGAAAGCAAACACCAAAGATGGATTCTTATAGCTATGGTGTTCTTTTGTGTGAAATACTAACATGTAGTTTTCCAGAAGTAGAAAAATTTGAGACTCTCTCACTGCAAGTCAGAGCCAGTTCACCTCGATTACATCAACTCATAGTTTTATGTATCAATGAAGAACCTGACAAACGGCCAACAATGTCAGAAATAATTGTCAAATTGGATCGTTTCATTGCTAATGAAGAGCATGGACTGGTTGTAGTTGCCCCAGAATACATGTATGTAAAAGAATTAATAGTTTAGACTTTATTTCTTTTTCTATTTGTTTTCTTTTTTTTGTTCCTTTTATTTTGAAAGTGATAAATCTATTATTGTAACTTTTACAGCTAACGAGGAATCATGACTACATTCGTTTTCTAGTTAATTTTAAGTTGAAAATAAATGTCTCCTTTGGAAGAGAGGTTGTGACATTGTTGAGCAGAAAAAGAGTAAAAAGTAATGGCTACAACTACAGTTAATTGTCCTTTTACAAGCTTTACTGAGGCTTTC